GAGAGATTCCAGAAGACTGGAAAAGGGCAAATATAGTGCCCATTTATAAAACGGGAAATAAGAACAACCCAGGAAACTACAGACCAGTTAGTTTAACTTCTGTGCCAGGGAAGATAATGGAGCAAGTAATTAAGGAAATCATCTGTAAACACTTGGAAGGTGGCAAGGTGATAGGGAACAGCCAGCATGGATTTGTAAAGAACAAATCATGTCAAACCAATCTGATAGCTTTCTTTGATAGGATAACGAGTCTTGTGGATAAGGGAGAAGAGGTGGATGTGTTATACCTAGAATTTAGTAAGGCGTTTGATACAGTCTCGCGTGATATTCTTATAAATAAACTAGGCAAATACAACTTAGATGGGGCTACTATAAGGTGAGTGCATAACTGGCTGGATAACCGTACTCAGAGAGTAGTTATTAATGGTTCACAATCCTGCTGGAAAGGTATAACAAGTGGAGTCCTGCAGGGGTCTGTTTTGGGACCGGCTCTGTTCAATATCTTCATCAACAATTTAGATATTGGCATAGAAAGTACGCTTATTAAGTTTGCAGATGATACCAAGCTGGGAGGGGTTGCGACTAATCTGAAGGATAGGGTCATAATTCAAAATGATCTGGACAAATTGGAGAAATGGTCTGAGGTAAACAGGATGAAGTTTAATAAAGAAAAATGCAAAGTGCTCCACTTAGGAGGGAACAATCAGTTTCACACATACAGAATGGGGAGTGACTGTCTAGGAAGGAGTACAGCAGAAAGGGATCTAGTGGTTATAGTGGGCCACAAGCTGAATATGAGTCAGCAGTGTGATGCTGTTGCAAAAAAAGCAAACATGATTCTGGGATGCATTAACAAGTGTGTTGTGAGCAAGACACGAGAAGTCATTCTTCCACTCTACTCTGCGCTGGTTAGGCCTCAGTTGGAGTATTGTGTCCAGTTCTGGGCACTGCATTTCAAGAAGGATGTGGAGAAATTGGAGAAGGTCCAGAAAAGAGCAACGAGAATGATTAAAGGTCTAGAGAACATGACCTATGAAGGAAGGCTGAAAGAATTGGGTTTGTTTAGTTTAGAAAAGAGAAGACTGAGGGGGAACATGATAGTCATTTTCCGGTATCTAAAAGGGTGTCATAAGGAGGAGGGAGAAAACTTGTTCATCTTGGCTTCTGAGGATAGAACAAGAAGCAATGGACTTCAACTGCAGCAAGGGAGGTTTACGTTGGACATTAGGAAAAAGTTTATAACTGTCAGGGTAGTCAAACACTGGAATAAATTGCCCAGGGAGGTTGTGGAATCCCCATCTCTGGAGATATTTAAGAGTAGGTTAGATAAATGTCTATCAGAGATGGTCTAGACAGTATTTGGTCCTGCCATGAGGGCAAAGCGCTGGACTCAATGACCTCTCGAGGTCCCTTCCAGTCCTAATATTCTATGATTCTACAAGAGGGAAACCAAGTCATTGCTGCACAATCACTGAGTATGAATAATTCTCTGTGCAATAATATATTTTGAGATTTTTATTTGAATCTTGACAGAGGTGCTGAACATCATGAAAAAATGTTTGCAGTTCCAGAATCTGCCTCAACTTCAAGTCAGTGTCTTCATGCTACTTGCAGAGGGCTAGAGACTAGCCTGGCGGAATGTGCTTTAATTAAGAGACCAAATGTTAATAGTAACAGGACTGTTGCTAGCATCGTGTGCCATACAAAAGACAGAGGTTGGTAAAATGTGTCTTTTTTTAAAAAAAAAGAAGCTAAGTAGAATGTTTTCAGTTCAAACACTGCATCAAATTAGGAAGTTACAGTCTTGCCTATCAAGTTTGGTATCACAGGCACTGCCACTTCTAACTGTAGTTGCATTTTTCTAGTCTTCTAAATAATTTTCAGCCTCTAGGTAGCTTAAAAAAGGAAAATAAGTTATCTTCTTCCCTAAAATACTTGGTTAAAATTTCACAAAGAAAACCATGGGAAAACGTCGTGCCTGCAACTCCATTCCTCCAAGCCTAAGAATGGCTCTAGCTGAATAAATGTTTCTTAAAATCCTTCTCTTGGGTAACTTGCACCTCTCCTATGCCCCGTCTTTCTCTGGTCAGCTGGTGGGGTGGCCAGTGGCATCCTTTCAGACCATCATTCTGTCCAGAATGACTGTGTAATGTAATTCAGAATATTTAAGAACACAATGGTCTGGTATCAGCCAACAGTCTGATTAGGTAAATTGTTAGTACTTCCGCAAAATGCTCAGTATCTTGTGGCTGTAGTTCTGGCATGATTTAATATCTGCACTGGGGTAAGCTAAACCATGTTTTTGTTCAGAGCATTTCCTACTTTTGCATTTTATGTGATGAAAGTGACAAGAATTGGGTTTTCTTTGGCTGCTCTGAGACATGTGGCTGATCAAAAGAGGGTCCAAATCTTCTCAGTCTTTGACCTCAATGGCAAAAGCAAGAGTTTAAAGACAACAAAATATGATGATATACCACATTTCTCCCATAACCACCTAGCAGGGGGATCTGAAATGGCATTGCCATCTTAGTTCTGAACAAAGAGAAATTAAGATCCCCTTTATCAAGTTGCTGGCAGTCGAAGGGGGGAGGAGGGGAGGGAAGAAAAAGCCATGTTGAGGCTCTGATGCAAAGCTCACTGAAATAAATGTAAAGATTTCTAGTTACTGGATAAGGCCCTGTCCCACCTGTTGCAAAAATAAAATAAAGACAATTTTTCTTGGAAGTTTCTGATTACGTAGAAATTTAAATAACTTTGTTTTTCATACTTCTTTGCAGAATGTCAATCGAATGAATTCGAATGTGTCAATAAGAAATGCATTCCTTTGACTGAAACCTGCAATGGAATCAATGACTGTGGAGACCTAAGTGACGAATTGTGCTGTAAAGGTAATAATGACGAAGAGTCCTGTGGCACCGTAGGGTATGTCTAGACTACATGGCTCCATCGACAGAGCCATGTAAACTAGTTTACCCAACATAGTCAATGAAGTGGGGATTTAAATAATCCCCGCTTCATTAAAATAAAAATGGACACAGCGCTGTGCCGACAATGAGCTGATCCGGCACAGTGCGGCAGTCTAGACGCAGATCGGTCGACAAGGGAAGCCTCTGTCGGACACTCCAGTAAACCTTGTTTCACAAGGCATAAGGGAGTGGTCGACAAAGGCTTCCATTGTCAACTGATCCACGTCTACACTGCCACGTTGTGCTGGATCAGCTGATTGTCAGCACAGTGTGGCAGACATTTTTATTTTAATGAAGCGGGGATTGTTTAAATCCCCAATTCATTGATTATGTTGGGTAAACTAGTTTACATGGCTCTGTCGACGGAGCCATGTAGTCTAGACACACCCTTAGAGACTAACAGATTAGGGCATAACCTTTCTTAGGTAAAACCTACTTCATAAAATGAATTAGAATGGAGTTTACAGAGATATGGGCATACATAGAGACAACAAAGAAAGAGGGTACTTGTGTCAATGGGGCTAATCAAGTCAGAGTGGATGTGACTTTCACAGCAATTGATGTGGAAATGTGGATATTAAGAAAGGGGAAATTGCCTTTGTAGAGTGTTAACCAGTTAAGATCCTTATACATTCCTAAATTGATAGTATTGCATTTACAAATGAATTCCAGTTAATTGTAATTCTCCCTTCTAAAGTGTCTCATAGTTAAATCCTTACCGTTAAAAGGTGTTCTCAGTCCATTTCAATCCTGTTGAGGAAAAGATCTTTCAGCTGTGTAAGATGATAATACTACAGCATCAGTGGTTAAGCAAGGAAACTTAGGCACTAGTTTACTTCTTGACACAAGGCTGATTCCCCAGAATGCGGCCCTGTGCCTAAGGGGGCCCCGTTCCTGGGTGCGCAGCGCATGCGCAGGGCTCCGGGCGCATGGCGCATGTGCAATGCTCCCCCTGGGTGCATGACGCGTGCGCAGTGCTCCCCCCTCCGGGTGCGCAACGCATATGAATTGCCGTCCTGGGCATGCGGCGTATGCGCAGGGCCCCAGGCACACGGTGCATACGGGGCCCCGCACTTCTTAAAGCCAGCCCTGTCTTGACACATGTGAGTATTAGAACAAAGGGAATAACGATTTTAAAGAAACTGGCAAACTTTAATATTAAAGTCATACACCAAAGGAAAAGTGTGGTGAGTTGGACTGAAAATGGATTATTAGAAGTGGACAAATAATAATAATTCAACTAGTTTACATCTTTTTTTTTCTGTTATCAAATTGTCCATAAAGCAAATTAAGATTCTCAAAATTATGTATAAAAATTATTTATAGAATAATATCTTTGCCCATAACTTGTTCTTGAGCAGTCACAATGTTCAGTATTTAAAATTCCACCTTTTTTGAGTGGAAATATGGAACAGAGACAAGCCATGTAATCTGACAGGATGAGCATATTTTTAGAAACTGGATTTCAGATACCAGAATCATGATTACACATTCAAAACTCTGTCCCCAATTATGTTGATTTTGCTGTTTTGATGATTGTCCCTATCATGAAAATTCATTTGCGTTCATGGAATGTGAACAAAGCAGGGGTTCAAACATAGTCAAAAGGTAATTTTTAAATAAAAATATAACACATACACATAGATTTTTTTTTAAAATATTTGCCAGACTCAATTATTACTTTTTTGTTTTTAAGATAGCACCCAAAATGTGAATACAGGCAGTCCCCGGGTTACGTACAAGATAGGGACTGTAGGTTTGTTCTTAAGTTGAATCTGTATGTAAGTCGGAACTGGCGTCCAGATTCAGTCGCTGCTGAAACTGATCAGTTTCAACAGTGGCTGAATCTGGCAGTTCTGACTTACATACAGATTCAACTTAAGAACCCCAGGCATCCCCAAGTCAGCTGCTGCTGAAACTGATCAGCGGCTGATTCCAGGAAGCCCGGGGCAGAGGCTTCCTGTAGTCAGCCACTGGTCATTTTCAGCAGCTGCTGACTAGGGGACCCCTGGGGCAGAGCAGCTGGGGTGCTGCTGGGTTGGTCCAGTGGCACCCAGAGCGGCGCTACGGGACCAACCGGC